AGACTGTGATTGTGTTTGTGTGTGTGTGTGTGTGTGTGTGTGTGTGTGTGTGTGTGTGTGTGGACAGGATTACAACTGTTGTTGTTGTTTTTTATCTACACACTTTTTAGACAGTTGCCAGAGAAACGTGAGTGTATTACATATCTGCAGCCACATCAAGTTCTGCACAAAGATTTAAGGACACCACTACCACTTATACACACACATACAGATGCAGAGCCACACATACACATGCACACACACACACACACACCACACACAATAAATAAACACACCAAATTCATACATGAAAGGCAATCATTCAGTGTGGGGTTACAGAGATAGTGGGAGAGTATTACAAATATAGCAGTGGGAGCAGCACACCCTGTGGCGCTGGTAATATCACCTGGATGCGCGCACACACACACAGATGAACACACATTCCCACCTCAGAACCTGATGGAGTGTAAAGCTTGGAGCACAGTTCAGAATGCCAATGAAACCCTTCTATTAAGGTGGGAAATAATTCACGTGAAGAGTCTCTGGGTTTTTGCTGTCAGATCATTCAATCTGAGCTTTGAAAACCTGGTTGGACACAACAACATGAATACCTGGTCAATGCAAACCAGCACAACAGCCCTGCAATACATACTACCAAAGCTGATGTACATGAATGATCTTCTGAGTGAAGTGGATTTTGTATTAGGCATAATGTTCTGACCGCTACATGCATTCCTTGTTCCTTGTTGTTTGACTGAATAAATGTACAGGCTTATGTGTATTCATGTGCTGCACAGAATAGCCTTTGCTCTACTGTCATCCTTGTTAATCTGTGGTGCATTTGAATAATAGGATACCTGACAGAACAGCCCATTACCAGTCTAGCTGCTCGATTCTGTGCCAGTTACACTTTATTCAGGTCGTATTCAGTTATCATTGTGTGTGTGCTTGATGGAAAAACCACATTAACCTGTGAATACAAATCTAAAAAGCTTGGCAGTCCAAAGTTTTGGCGGCTTTGTCAGAGTTGCTTTATATTAAGCCTGAGGAAATTGCCCTTGTCATGGCTCTCTACGTGTGCTGTTGTACAGACTCGTTCGGGGTTATTTTATTTTTTTTCCTCTTGGCAGACAGATTTTATGGTCAAACCAAGGATCTCTGCAACTAAGACTTGACCTTGAAGGCTACAGGTTGCAGATTCATCCCTTTTGCGACCTTTATACTTTTGGATGGCAATATCAGTCTTTCTGAGTTTCATTCCTGCACCATGAGGTTGACATTTGGTTTTGAGTGATTAACAACTATTGGATGGATTTCCATGTGAAGTTTGCACAGAAATTCATGTGCCCTCTAGGGATGAATTATAACTTTTCTGATGCCTTAACTTTACCTTTTTCCTGCAAGTTGAAATGCGTCCAGTACTATGCTAACACACTTAACTAAAATGGGGAACATAGATAATATAATGCCTGCTAAACATCTGTTAGCATTATCATTGTTGTGATTGAGCATGCTAGTATGTAGACCTGATTTTCGCATGTTTATATTACCCTTGAGAATATGTAATATCATAATCTTTTAAAGGTTTTTAGTGGCAGAAAAAAAAACTTGTTCTCTAGAGAAAATGTAATGGCTTAATAAGACTATACTCTTGATTAAAATTCACAGCCTGTCTTCAGTATTTTCTGAATGAAACTGACTGAAACTGAAACTTTACCTCCACAGCCTCTGAAGATGCACTGCAGGACTTGCTCCCTGGTGACCAGCTCCGGCCATCTAACCGGGAGCAAGAGAGGTGAAGAAATCGACCGTTCCGAGTGTGTAATCCGTATGAATGATGCTCCCAGCATAGGCTACCAGCAGGATGTTGGCCAGCGTACAAGCCTGCGTGTCGTTGCACACTCCAGCCTGCAGAGGGTTCTGCGGAGCCGGCAGGAGCTTCTCAACGCGAGCCAAGACACAGTGTTCATCTTCTGGGGACCCAGCAGTTGCATGAGACGGGATGGAAAAGGCCATGTTTACAACAACCTCAGGCTGGTAAAACAGCTTCTGCCGAAACTCAAAATCTACGTAATTTCCCGGATCAAAATGCTGAAGTTTGATGAACTATTTAAAAAGGAAACAGGGATTGATAGGTAAATGTTCACAGAATCAGTCCTTTCTTTGTGAGATTTGTTTTGCTGTGACCTTACTAAGACAAACAATGAAAATTTGTGTGTGTGAAAAGCAAAAACACAAGAGAGGGGCAAACAAAAAATGTCTTCAGCTTATAAAATGCTCACTAAGGAATATGTTTGTAGAGTTCTGAACACTAGAGCATTATTAATAGGATTCATATTAAAACTTGTTTCTTATATCTGGAAGGATTTCAAGGGATTTGATTCATCCCAAAGTCCAAAGTTGTCCCACTAATACCAGGCTTAGGGATGATTATTGCATAGTAGTGCTACCATTTAGTAAGACATTTAAGGAAATGGCTCAACATCAGAAAGAGAAAACACATTTTATTTCATTGTCATTTGAATTCTTCCTGAAGCGTTATGTTTCTCCACTCATAAGCAGAAAAAAACTTGGTGAGCAAGCATAAATCAGTATCTTGGAGTGGGAACTGACAAATTATTTACTGAGAGTAAGTTACTATTATACAGACAGAGAGATAAATAACATAGACAGATACAAATGTTGGGCCGTATCTGAACTCCTATTTAAACAGTGATGATGAGGAGTGGCTGGATGTTGAGTCCAAACAAACTCTGCCTCGTGCTTGACAGCATCAGGATCTGTATGCATGGAAGTACCACAGCTGTCATGCTATTCTCACTTTGAGGCAGAACTTACAAAACAACAACAGGACATTAATAGTGCATTATAAATGTTATATTCATAATAACACTGCAGAAACTGTTCTCCACTTCTCAACTGAGATTTGGGTGGTTAGTGTGGCACAGAGCAAATTTCATCAAAATAAATATAAAGGAAATTGGCATACCACTTTTCATATGAGGGACAAGTACATGTGCTGCATAAAAAATGACTGACTCAAAATGAGATTACAAAATAAGAACCACATAGATCACGACATCACATCATACCAGCCATTCATAAACTCATTTGCATGTGAAGAGTAAACCAACAGGAAGATAAGAGGACATTGCATTTGAATTGAAAATCCAGTCACTACAGCCTTAGTGTAAGTATAGTCAGTGTCAGAACGAATGTCATAGACATAATGTTTATTGTTGGGTACAAGGCAAGGAATTTTTACCGTCATCTGTATTTATCTCTGAAAAATCAGGTGAAATCTAAAATTATGGGTTCATATCTTTAACATAGTCTCCTCTTGCAAGGAGCCAGGACTCCCATACATTTGCATTACATGAGTGTGGATTTACTAAAAAGGGTGACCTTCCCTTGTCTTTCAGGAAGAGTTCCAACTCCTGGCTGAGTACCGGCTGGTTTACCATGGCCATAGCCCTGGAGCTGTGTGACAGGATCAACGTGTATGGCATGGTGCCACCTGATTTCTGCAGGTAGAAAATGATAATTTTTAATCCAAGAATTTAGGTGCAAAGCATTAATTCAAATTCACGCCTAAGTAGGAAGCTACAAATACCATAATACCTATTCTATGTGCTATTGGTAAACCACACACAGACTTTTGTATTTGCTTAACAGGCCAGTCTGTCATTTTGTGCCAAAGGGATTTGTGATAATATTTTTCTTTCATTTATTTGAGTTTATGAACACAGCTTTCTACTTTAACTTGAACAACATCAGCTTTAAACTTGCATGATTTTTGGCTACTTGGAGACAGTGGAGACAAGCTGAAAACCCAACACTGACATGTTACCATCTTTTAAATTCACATGTAAAATGTGTTAGTTTATTGACTTATTTACACATACAATAGATGCAGAGAGAAAAAACTACTTCTATATGGAGTCTGGCCACCTGCATGAGAGTCAAATATTCACTTTCCTTTTATAGCAGCAGCTTATAAAGCAGCTTTAACTTTATTATCCCCGAAGGTTGTTTTTTTGCAGCCAGGTGAAAAATAGAACATAAAAAATACTAAAATTCATTAAAAAAAGAACACAACACATATAATATATGTAAAAGAAAATATTCTAACAAATATGTTTATCACAATGACACACTGTAAGTGAGTTCACAAGCTGTGATGTATGTGGTTATAAATGTTTGAGCCTATAAAATCTTATTTTCATTTTCTTCTTATCAATCTATGTTTGACATTAAAATGCAAAACAAAAAAAAACACTAAATCATTAACTTTATCTTTGCTTTTATTGTCAGTTTCCTAGCAACACTGTTCACATGACTTAAAACACCTCAAAGCCAGGTAAAAAAAATACTGTCTCACAAGTTTCATTTGAAGGGAACATGAGCTTTATTGAAAGGAAAAAAGATGATCTCACCTGATTTATTATTATAATAGATAAACAACCTTCAATATAATTCTCAATATTATTTGCTAATTTTTAACAAATGGCCAAAAACTCTTTTTTACTCTTTTATTTTACACATTTAAGAACATGGCACACCAGGAAAATGATAACAAATAATTGTTTGACATTTTGACAGGATAACATTATGCACAAGAACCTTTGAGAAGTCACTCTCTGTAACATTCTGTTTCATATGTTAAATTGTTAAATTATACATCCGAGGCAACATCGAAATCCCATATCCTCAAGCCTTACATTTTCAGTTTGTCACTTCCTGTTTTAGCAACTGGGGCAAATAGTGTATGAGCGCAGATGGGACGCTCTCTTCTGTTGCAGCTCCAGATTTACTGTGTGCTGACAACATGGGTGTGTTTCCACATAAAAATGTTGTCTAGTACATCTTTAATGCCGTCTTCAACTTGTAATGACAATATAATATTTACTCCCTGCAGTGACAGCTTCAAGTATCTTATATTGCCACGCAGTCATGCTGGTGAATGACTGTAATTTTGGAGCCAGAAATGTTCATCTTGACATTTTACAATAAAAATAAGACATTTCACTAAATAGATGCAAAGTGCGGCTTCTTAATATGCAACATTCAGGTTCACTGGAAATACAAGAATAATTCGGCTGATGTTGTTCTCACCTGAATCTACAAGGGCACAAAGGACAGTTTGACGAATTTGGATATTCACAGAGAAATTCAGTCGAGACTTGTGTGTCTGAGTCTTCCAGTGAGCTTGGTGTGACCGCAGGTCTCAGAGGAATAAGATGATGTATAATGAACATAACTGTGAAGCCAGATTCTTCTGATCTTTCTGTTTTTCTTTGTTCCGGTCTCCATTTTCTTCCCCACTGTGAATCGCTTCCTCCCCCCTCTCCCCCTACCCTCATCTCATAATTATCCCTGCACTCTATTTCCACATCCCTCGCTCACACTTTGACTTTCATGCCTTTTCATGCTTTACTCCTTTCTTATCTCCTCTTCCCGTCTCCCGTGTAGATCCTCCTCCCATCCCTCTGTGCCGTATCATTACTATGAGCCCTCTGGGCCCGACGAGTGCTCCATGTACCTCTCTCACGAGAGGAGCCGACGAGGGAGCCACCACCGCTTCATCACAGAGAAGACGGTGTTTGCAAACTGGGCTCGAACCCTCAGCATCCACTTTTTCCAGCCAGACTGGAAGCCCGCTGCTGTCATCATCACCAGCACGAACAGCTCATACGCTCCAGTTCCAGCTGGATCCTGAAATTCAATCCAGAGACGATCCCCAGAAGTGTAGAATATGTGTGTGGACAGTTTCCAGCATGCATCCTCTCTGGCTGATATGAATGCAGGAGACAGCAGTAGGACAGAACAAGCAACTGTTGTGGCTGTTTGCCTACTGCCTAAGCAGCTTGGCAGAATGGGATCATTGCATAATAGCAGCACAAAGCCTCAACAATGTTTGGGAAGTGTAACTATAATAGGATGAATTTCATACTGGAATCAAAGCCATGGAGCTTGGCTCAAGTGTGTTTTTTACTTTGTGTAAAGATGCTTTAATAACACTCAATCGGTCAGGGAGGAGACAGGCAATGACTGTAGTATGATTGATTCATCTTCATCAAAGTGAATACAGATTCATTGAGGACATGGAGGTCATGACCTTATTGTTTCTGAGAATGTGACATAACCTGTTTCATTGAGAAGTTTATGCTTCACACATAAATTAAACATAGTGTGTTTTCAAAGCTGATTGTGATATTTCTAGAGATTTATGTACCTCTACAATACAAAGAAAAAAATGTGCCAGTTACAATCAGAGACAACCAATATGTCAGTAACAGAACAAACTCACATGACATTGCAGTAGGCGATGTCACAAATTGTGGAGTATACTGAAATAAATTCAAGATTTTACAGAAAAGAAAAAGATAATGTAGTGATACTGCTTATTGGTATACTTGTATATGTCGTTGGCCCCTTAAACAGAAAGAGGTGCGTGTGAGGAATCCAGGCTTAATCACAAGGTTCCATGTGTAATATTCTAAAGCATTTTATGTATTATTTAATGTATAAATCACTTTTTATTGCCAACGTGTAAACAAGTTGTAAGGTAATTTAAGAAATTAGACCATCCCCGATGTCCTCGGTTTCCTGTGGACTGATTTATATGCGTTACTATGAAGGAATATGGATTGGATTTTCTGCTAAAATCCAAAGGATGTGACACGCTTCTAAGTGCCTTCTCTCTCTGCTTCCCTACAATGTCAACAGTGTGCAACACTAGCTAACATTAGCTTATAAATGGAGTCTGCTAACACTTAAAAAGTCCAAAGTCAAAGAAAGTCCAAGAAAAAATTAGCAAGTGATCCCTAAAACATATTTGGCTAATAGACAAAAAAATGGCAAAAAATGGCTTAAAAATTTAAATATGATGCATATTCAAACAACAACTAGAAATTTTGTTCACAGAAATAAGATGTTTGAGACACAAACAGGACAAGTGTAGTCATTTGATCCGATTTCATTGTGCATACTTATAATTCATTTAAAAATCAGGTGTAAATATAATCTTCCTAAATCATATCTAGAGTCAGTGCAGATTAAAGGGGCATGTTAATAAGATAAGAAGATATTATGTTGTTCTCTTGCTCTGCAACAGATGGCCCTTCAGAAAAGCCCATGTGTCTGATACTCTAGGCCATGATTTGTCCCATTATTAAAGCCAAATGTCAGAACAAGCCCTCAAAGGCACTCCCCCTGACTACAGAGCAAGTCAGCCGCTATAATACTGATACAAATGATTACATCAAAGTGTCCTGAGCAGCCTCTTCAATCCTGACCCACAGGCTTCTATCTCAGCCTCTTCAGCATACAGAAGGGAGCTGGTTGTAAGCAAGGGATTACACTGTGCTATCCAACCGTATCTCCAGGGTATGGGGAGCAGTAAGACTATTGCAGAATTCAAGATGTGCTGTCCTGCAGAGATGGCTGCAAAAAAAGGAATTGACTGCTGGCTGTTCCTGTGTTCATTCAGATTTTACCACGTACGCCTGCACTCAGGTGGAATTTTAATGTTGTAATGCTCTCAGGTGCTCTGAGAAAAGCCCATGCAGTGCTTGGGTGTCATGCTAAGTGCACTGGCTGCTTCTGAGATCTGCGCTGTGTGCTCTGCACACCAATTACTGTTGCTTCAGGTAGAAAGGTGGGATTTTAAAGGCTCCTAAAAACAAGCTGGCGAGTCTGCTGTTGCTTGAGGAGATAAACAATTATTCTGAGTTGCTTTGGGCAAAATTGAGATTTCTTATAAATAATAGGTAATCTTAATTCTATTTATAGCCTTACTATATCTATATAATAACTGCGTGACTCTTGGTATATTCATAAATTAACATTATCGATGTCAGTTGTTATTTTTAGAGTTGGTGAATTTAAATTGACCAAACCCTGATTAAAGGAATAGTTCTACCTTTTGGAATACACTCAGATGTCAAATATCAAGCTAGAGCTGAGAGCCGGTTAGCTCAGCTTACCAAAAAGACTTGAAACATGGGGGAAATATCCATACTGGCTCTGTCCAGTCCACCCACTAGCACCTCTTCATGCTAAGCTAATATAAAGCAAATATGAGACTGGCATCAATCTTCTCATCCAACTCTCAGCAAGAAACATATTTCTCAAAATGTTGGACTATTCCTTCAAGCTGTTCTAGTTGCAAACCCTTGACACAAACCTGTGTGTGCTGTTTTTGAAAATATAAATATATCTTTACATGGTTAGATTATCATAACATTCAACAGAACATCATAACACTAATATATACTCATATAAAACAGTATATTTTAAATTTCTGAATGAATTTTGCCAGATCCCTTATGTGACCTTCCAGCAGCATTCAAGACAAAACTGCAACTAATGCAACTCTTAGTAAGTCACAACAGCTTCAGAGCTGGTTATTCTCAAACACCACCTTAAACTGTGCAAAATATAATAAATTCTTGTATATTACTTCAAAAATAAACCTTAACCTAATCCCCAAATACTGGATTTCTACTACTAATATTCCAGTCTCGTGTGTTTATATTATATTAATACTCTAAGCCTGTGTGTTTGGCTGTCACACCTCTGTAAATAGAGCAGCAGGATAAACTCACACTTTCATCTCCTGAGCAGAAATCTTGATTGTGACACATATCAGATATACTGTAACCACAAACCTGCTGTTGATAAGCACAGTGTCACAGAGCTGCCTTGTTCATGAAAGCAGGCTGTGAAGGAACTGTGGAGCTTTATCAGTGAGCCTGCAAAAAAATACCATCGTCCTATGGAGCCAAAATGTTTTAGAGATAAGAGTTTATAGCATATCACCAAGCCCATAATCCATACCCATAATCCAATAAAATAGGTAATTATACTGAACCGTTTTTAATGTAAATACAGGACTGTGTGTTATAAGTCTGCACTGACACCTGGTGGCCTCAAGTGTCTCAGCATTTTCTGTTCAGGCTCCACAACCTACAACTACTGTCCTTTGTAGGTGCAGCAATTTAATAATAATGTGTATGTGTCTAATTGCAAATAAAAGTGAAATCGTGATGAAAAAGAATTTAAGTTTAATAAAAATTATTTATGTTTAACCAATCATATGGACATTTTCAAAATCACTACCCACTTGTGGTTTTGGTTTTCTTGTTGATGACGCGACAGTTTTATGTCTTCAAAACCAGGTTTCCTATCACTGTATTGGATATATTCCCATATTTACATGTAGCCTATGCTCTTTGTAAAAGGACAGAAGATGAAATACAGATCATATAATGCTGGAAATGTAAACTTACGCTTTGTAAACCAACTTTATCCCAAACTAAATATGTTAAGATGGCCAGCTAGTCTGTCTATCTACTTTATTACATCCCCAAAAAATACCATGACCATTTGCCAATTGTTTTGTTTTCAGTGGAAGTAAGGTTGGAGTGCTTCACTGTTGCTTTACTGGTAGCAATAATCACACATCCCATTTGGTCGGTTGCAGAGTATTGGGTGGAATAAAAATGTGGTCATCAAAATAAGTCTGGTCAGTGTGACCTATGTTGCCCTATAATGTTACAATTCAGTTTAGTAGTGGTTGTGGAAAGGGACTCAAAGCACTCACAAAAATCCTGTAAATATACTTGAATATGTGTGTAAATCTTTGTCAGATATGAAAGATGCATTTATTAAATCACAGATTAGAGTCTATTCATGTTTTATGTATCTATAAAGCTAAAGGAACTAGAGACCTGTCAGAGAGATTATTAGTGTTTATCAGTACGTCAAGGTAAGTGACCAAATGTGCCTCCACTCCCTTTAGTCCAGGACAACAGTGTATAAGGTGTTCCCAAGATGCTCCTCACTAATTACAGCTGTATGTCTCATGATGCATCAGCATGTTTATTTTTCTGCGAGGGTCATTATGTTCTCTGTGATCACTGAACCTGACTGTCCTGCCACCTTAATGTTCAGGCTCCTCGCAGAAAACAGACTCATTCTGCATGATGCTCTGTTTCCACTGGTTGTTACATAAGATTTGCAGACCCAGTGCAAGCCCTATTAAAGGTACACAAAGCAAAATTACAAGCATATTAACTTTTGCAGGTCAAAATTGTCAAAAAAATACAAGTACAACTTTCTTTGTCTTATTTGAACCAAAAGCTCCCACATGTTGTGCTTTTGGGTTAAAGCCTGCCTTTGTTATGAGATGTTGGAAAATTGAAGTGAAACCAAATACAAATCTAATACAAAACAACACTAATGACATTCCCATCAGCCTCAGCTAGGCCTGCTAATTAGTTAATGTTAGCATGCAAACTAAGACAGTTAACATGGTAAACATTACACCCGTTAAACATGAGCATGTAAGCATTGATATCATGAGCATGTTAGCATGCTGGTGTTAGATTTAGCTCAAACTACAGCAACACAGAGCTGCTGGCATTGCTGCCTTGTTAACGCAGATGTCTTGTCCTTCTGTAATATGACTACTGGTATAGGATAATAAATAAAAGGATAACTGATGGGATAATCTTGACTTGATGTTGCCAGTTTAACAGCTGAGAAGCCAGCAGTTTAGCTTTTAGTAGAGCAGAATGAACGAGCAAAGATTACTCACGGGAGATATAAAACAGTACAGTAACATCGGTTGTGAGGTTGAATCTCTTATAGATGGTTGCACCACAAATCCATACCTGCCTCAATTCCAATATAATTGATGTCACCACAAATCTC